TAACTTCTCTCAATAATAAAACCCATGAGTAAACGTTTTTTCTTCTTCTCCTTTTTAAAACAATTTAAATGGCCATTTACATAACAATATCTTAAACCAAACAAGTTGCTTCCATAGGCTGATCACCAAGACCAAACCGACTTAAGGGTGCCTAAAGCTATCCTAGGAGACAAGCTAAAACCCACTTTAGGCCTAATCCAGTAAACTAAATGTCATATTTAGGCTATGTTATTGTACCTATAAATGGCAGATGTGTGTGATAGCTATACAATTCTTCCCGTTTTGCCTTTAGATTTTGTTTGCTTCATAAATTACTCACCCTCAAACCATCCTAGGTGTATATGACTTTCTTCTTTCAGCCAAACACGGTTATATATATATATATATACACGGTTATATATATATATACGTATATAGTTTTGCAATAGGAGTGACTGGAATTAAATGTAGGCGTGAATAAAAAAAATTAAGGCCAAGAAAGTGCATCCATCCATCAAAGTAATCCATACGGCTCCAGTGGGTTAATAAAGGCCTTCTGAAGCAAAGTGTTTTTTTGAGAAAAATATCCATAATTATAACTTTATAAACTGTAATCACTAGCTTCCGGTAACATCTGTCCGCACTTTCATGAGAAAGTCGAGTTCTGCCGTAAAGCTTAGGTGAGAATAGACGCCTCTCTTGTGGTTCAAACTAATAGGGCCAGGCAACAAACTCGCACTCCTCCGACATTTCTCTTTATAAATTCTCATTTTTGACTTCTAATTCATGACCGGTGTCGATATGTCATATGTTGGATCAGAGGTCACTCTACAGTGGAACTATAGTTATAGCTATAAGTCTATAGACTTGCGTACAGCCGCTATACCAGAAGCCAGTTTTTAAAATTATAAATCTGGATTTTTATTTTTGTTATATATATATATATATATATATATATATATATATATATTAAGCATGGCTTTACTTCAGAAGGCCTTTATTAACCCCCTGGAGCCGTGTGGATTACTTTTATGATGGATGCGCTTTTATTGGCCTTGAAAAAATGATACCATTCACTATCATTATAAAAATATGAGGAACTAGGATTTTTTTTTTTTATAAATCCGATTGTGCTTGGCTGAAAGAAGAAAGTCATTTACACCTTGGCTTGAGGTTGAGTAAATGATGGTATAATTTTAATTTTTGTGTGAACTAACCCTTTAAGACGGAGGCAGAGAACGTTGTAAGTTTATTAGCAGGTAATTGCATGACAACACTAGTCAATAGCAGTCTCTAAGTATCACATTGTGTGCTGAGGTACAATTTGCATGGAAACGCACTTCAAAGTCATCATCATGAACTAAGGCTTGTTCCAGTTTCAATAAAACTATTAATATGAATAAGCATAAACTTACGTTTACCAACTGAAATTCATCCTCATGGCGATTGTGTGGGTATAAATAGAGTAGTAATACATGTTATGCAATTTTGTTCAGTTATCCTTTCTTTTGCAATCACATAAGTAGTGCCTATTTATATCTATAGAGGGAAAATAATCTGTTCAAGTTGGACTCACTCTCTTTAATTAATCAATTTAAGTCCTAAAGCTTTGCAATGTTAGCAAAGCTTTAGCAAATGTTTTATCTCGAGTTGCTGGAGACCAGGGGGACAATAGTGAACTGTGCCATGGCAACAGAGGCCATATGCCAGTAGTGAGTATAATTGCTCCATCCCACCCCCTACCCGTCGCTCACAAAACAATTCTACAGAACCAAACCCCACACCATGCAGTCCTAATCTGTTTCTATGCTGAATAAACGGTGCCAAAGCACACAGATTATAGAGTGCTTTACCCCAGTGAACTTCTTGGAAATAATGATATAAAAGCATTGAGATTTCAGTTATTATTTTTCTAGAAAAATGCATTGTTGATATAACTAATGCTGAGTGTCGCTACACTCTTAAAAATAAAGATTCCAAAGGGAGGTTTGTCTATGATGCAATAGAAGAACCATTTTAGGTTTTCCAAAGTAAACAGTTCTTAAAAGAACCATTGTTTTAATACTCTGAAGAACATTTTTTTTCCACTGAATAGAACCTTTTTGTGTTATGGATGTTAAAGGCTCTTCATGACCTCTTGATGCCAATAAAGACCCTTTACTTTTAAGAGTGTACATGAAAGTGCTTAAAGGGACACTTTACCCAAAAATGTATCATCCTTTACTAGTGTTGTGGTACTCGAGACCAGTCTTGAGACCACTTTTTGATGGTCTCGGTCTAGTCTCGGACTCGACTGCTTTTGGTCTCGGTCTCGGACATTGAGGACTCTGGATTTTTTTTCAAGACCGGACAAGACCATAACTGTGAAAATATCACTAATTTGCCAGTATATTGACAATTTTTTTGTTAACATCCTCGCTTTTATTGTATGTAAAACGTACTAATTCAAATCCAAGCAATAACGTGACTCATTGGTCATTGCTAATTATGTATTTTTGTTACCGCTGCCCATCACCCATGTATTGTTAATAAAAAAGTTTTACATCAGAGTTTTACATTCTGTACTAAATGATGGAAGTCACCCAAGAGTATTGAATAAAGATGGTTTATTTCAGATTTGAGTGTTAAATATCTCTGTTTTTTAGGAATGTGGATCTTTCGGATCAATCTGAGAAGATTTCAGATCAATCTCTTTTGATTATGTTTCACATTTTATTGTATCATGTAGTGTGGGGCGCTGGTCGTCTCACCCTCCCTCGGTCTTGGTCTTGTCTTGGTCTCGATACACTCTGGTCTTGGTCTCGGGTTAGGTGGTCTTTACTACAACACTATCATTTACTCACCCTCATGTTGTATCAAATCTGTATGAGTTTCTTTCCCTTGTTGAACACAAAATGTATTTTAAAGAATGTTGGGGGGGGTCACTGTCTGGTGTTCAACATTATTCATTTCAAAATATCTTCTTTTGTGTTCAGCAGAAGAAAGAAACTCATACAGGTTTGGAACAACAGGTTTGGACACAATTTTCATTTTTGGGTGAAGTATGCCTTTCACTCTTTAAATCCAAATTTTGCCAGAAAGAATTAAACATCGGGACTGAACAGAGAAAGCAAAAACAACACACTTAACAAGATAAGACGTCTACCATCATGCATATCTGTTCATTCATTTACTTTTACAAAACGTTTAATCAGTGTCAAGGACTGCTTCCTGTCCACTACCGTTGGCCCAGCGTGCTGCTCATTTGGGAGTCTCACATTTCCTGACTGAGGGGCAATCATTTCATTAATGGTTTGTTTCTGAGGCTTAGTTTGCCACAAATGCCATTCCCCAGGCAGACGTGCTTTGCAGGAACAGCCTCCTGAGGAGACAATGATGAGGGGTGGTGAGCAGCACACCTGCTTAATTCCCCTTGAGACTCCATGTATCCACTTGCAACACGACCTGTGCTATGCAGCGCTCATCAGGAGATCAGAAACAAGGCGAGCGCATAATTCCATACTGCTGGTTTACATTTACATTTATTCATTTAGCAGACGCTTTTATCCGAAACGACTTACGAATGAGAACGATATAGATTAGAAGCAGTTAAACTAACAGTAGGACAACAATAAGTGCCATGACCCTTCTCAGTTTAATCTAACTCAGTACATGTAAATAAATAAATAAAAACAAATTAATAAATAGAAGACAAAGTGATATTACTGGATTAAGAGCTGGTTGACGTCAGTCGGCCCACTGATGATTTCACCCCTTGTTTTGACTGCTGCATGTGTTTGAGATTGGGAAAATGTGATTAGTTTTGTCATATTTCCTTTATAACGTCTATGCATCAGTTAAAAAGATAGGAATGTGAAATCTTTTAGCATTTAATGACATTTTTAAAGGGGTGAGTAAAAGGAGTGTTATAGAAAAGTAACTTTCAATTTAACCACTTGTAGAATAAAAATTCATGCTTAGATGCCATCTTGTGGTGATGATACATGATACAAGACTTTTTTTTGCTACACAACAGGGTTTTTAAGGGGGCCAATCAAACTAATAACAATAAAAATAACATTTTTTTAAATAAGTAAACAATATGTACAACAGTACAGTACTATAGTAAGTAGAAAAAAGTAATTAACGTAAAAATAAACATATTTTTTTCAAATATTTATGATGTTAATCTTTCACTGTATAAATTGTTTGTTTAAAGGCTGCATGAAAATATAGCTGCCTTTTAAAATTTAGAATGTGGTCCCTCGCAATACAACAAAAAATGTGTGGCTAAAAGATAGCTCAGTGAATAAATAAGTGTTATATTTGGTATCATCTCTGTTTTAATCAGATTTTCATTTTTTGTATCCATGTAGAGTTTCAAAATTAATGTTAAAGGACATCTTTAGTACAAATTTCATAGGCCTACTCCTAATTTAAGTATCGTTCTGTCATCATTTACTCACCCTCAACTATCCCTAGTTGAGGAGTGCACGCGCACATCTTCTGACGTGATTTAATGTGGCGGTTATGCTTATAATTCCTAACATTGATTTTTATAACTTGAGGCCAAACTAATTATAAGACTTTCCTGTTTTACAAGTTTTGTACGAGCAAAGCAGTTTTCTTACATTAGCATTTGGACATCACTCCGTTTGCAGAAAGGCGCCGCAAGATGGCGCTCTTGCTTCAGAAAGGAAATGCGTAAACTCAAGAACATTCATGCACACACAATGCTCGACTCTAGCTGATTCAACCGTACAGACACGAAACCTAACCTTTTTTATCCTCCTCAGCCCTTATCATGCAGGTTTAAAAGTCAGTTATGGTAGATAGCATGTGTCCATACTCAGAAACCAGACAGTGGTCATGAAACATCTTCCATCGAACACCAGGCGCTGAAACCTAATGCACCAAGTTGTTGGTAACCATGTTAAACTGGCCTAAAGTTACCTGAGCTCATGACTAGTTCCATGTATAATTTATCTCCTCAGTAATCTACTCACATTATGAGAAGGAACCTGACTCCATTAGCCTGTCTACCTGCCCTGGAGAAGGATTTAGGTTTGGAGTCTGTTAACGGGTAAGAAAACTAATGATCTTCTTTGGGATTAAGAGCAGCATTGCTTTGATTGTCCAATTTTTGCTTCTCACGTTTTAGCAATCAGTCATTCTAAAGCTCAACAGAAATATGAAGGCTGTATATTAATATTCAATGAAGGCTCTTTATCAAAGATGGAATTATTCAGGACTGGGGGTTGGAGGGTGTTTTGGACAGACGTATATATTATCTGCAATAACCTTTCAATGGATGTCTTTTCTTACAAAGAGAGGGATTGCTTGCAAACTAACCTAAACAAAAAGTCAACCAGATCTGGGTTGTTGTGGAAAGAGTGACGTTGTAAACTAAGTCTCAAACCAAATGTCATTTGTATCTTGTTCACCACACAGGAGAACCGGACCTGACCTACTGTCTTCTACAATTTATTGATGGTTGATTTGTTCTTTTGATGTTAAGGTAATGGTTTAAGATCATGGCTGAGCAAAGGCAACGGGCCCTGTCCACATCAGGAGAGGCTCTGTACCAGGTTCTTGGCCTTGACAAGAACTGTACCCATGATGACATCAAGAGATCCTACAGGTAAGACGTGATTCACATTCATATTTGTCTCGAGATTCATTTACTGTGGGTTCTTAGGTAAGAAGTTCAGATACTATATGTAGGAGGACAGGGCTGAACAAGGGAGCAAAAGATGGAGACAGTGCCAAACTGCGACACGTTCCTCTATAATCTCAGCCATCAGTTGCAGTGGAGCTGCATGAATATAATATGACTTCCACAAAACTGAAATATTCATTATGCTGAACAGATGGCATCCTTTATTTTACTGGGATCAGGAATGAAGAAAGAATCTCACATACGAGAGCATGTTCGTGGTGCATGACGTGTGTGCATGAACGATTCTGCACTATACATTGACTTAGATAGTGGCATGGAAACACTACAGCCTGTCCTTTGGGAGTAATATCTTGACGTTTAGTATCATAACTTGTAGGTTTCACTTATTGGTTGGTATAAAAACTGTAAAAAAAAATATTCAAAGGATACATTTTTCCATACCATATATATGTGTATGTATATAAATATGAATGAGAATTTTTGTCTGTATTTTGTACACTAAAACATGAAAGCAACAAGTAGGAGAGCTTCATTAGACAAGTGTGTTTCAAATGCCATCCTGATGTTCTGAAAATCATACAATCTAATTGCTCTAATTTACACGTTGTTCAAGGAGGCATTTAAATGGTTAGCATTTTAACAGCACTTGTTTGCTGTTAATGAATATATAATCATCGCAACTCTTGCAGACGGGATTGGCTTAATCAAAAATTAACAAGCGAGCATGCTCGGAGAATTATAAAGTATAGATTTTTTTTTTGGTTCAGCAGCAACAAGATATGAAATAAAAATAATATAGAGACTATGTTCATGTAATGTTTTTAAGATTCAAACTCTTGGCTATTTTTAAATGGTATTAATAGATTTATCCTACTCTCTGTGGCTTTTACAAACTACTATAAATATTTATAGTTTGATATTCGATCATCCACAACCATTTGGAGCTGAAGGATATTACATTTCACAGCATTATAAAATGTCAAACTCTTCCTTATTGCTACAGAGAGTTTTGAAAATTGTTGCGTAGAGTTTGGTCATGCTGGCATTCATTCAGCGCAGACCTGAACTGAGTCAGAGACAGAGACGCTTGCAATGCACTGCTGGTTCTATTGGGAAAAAATGTCAACCTTGGTGACGTTCCTCTCTTCACCACCCCTCGTGTGCCGAGGCGCTAATGGGGTCTGCGGTCTTGCCGACACACAGACGGGTCAAGCAGCGTGCGTAAGAGGACAGCTAGCCGCTAAAGATCACACCCTGCTGAGATCATCAAACAGACACACAGCATTTTAAACTGGCCACATGGTAATGAGTCTCCTCTCACTGTGTGTGAGACCAAAAGTAGCTGTTTCCTTTTATTAACTAACGGTATGCCACTTTCATTAGGTGCATACAAAGGGCACATTCTCGCAGAGATTTTTGTATTTCTTAGGTCATTGAAATGCATTTCCTGATTTTCATTCCTAATATGTCTATGATCCTCAAGTGAGGTATGCTTTTTGCATTGCATGTTTCAAGGAAATTATTCATCTTTAAAATGTTCTCAACCTTTTTTATTATTATTTTTTTTTAGGAAGCTCGCTTTGAAATATCATCCTGACAAGAACCCCGAGAACCCCGACGCCACTGACAAATTTAAAGAGCTCAACAATGCCCATGCGGTGCTGTCTGACGTCACTAAGAGGAACATTTATGACAAGTATGGCTCTCTGGGTCTGTATGTGTCGCAGCAGTTCGGGGAGGAGAACGTGAACACGTACTTCATGCTCTCCAGCTGGTGGGCAAAGGTGCGGTATCAGTCGTCTTAATGGATAAATGATTATAATAAATAGTGCACTATTCCATAATGGGGACTTTAATGCTGGAACATAAATAAGAACTAATTAAATTCCCCCTGTAGTCAATAATTATATACCTTAAAACTCATCTTTGATCACTGAAATTACATATTTAAAAAAACTTAAATCCTTGGAAAAAAAAACAATGTCTTTATGCCTTGAAATAACTTGAATGTAACACTACATGCTTGCCTCATTAGTATACGTGATTCTATGAATATGGAAATACACTAACCTAAAGGATTATTAGGAACACCATACTAATAATACTGTTTTTGACCCCCTTTCGCCTTCAGAACTGCCTTAATTCTATGTGGCATTGATTCAACAAGGTGCTGAAAGCATTCTTTAGAAATGTTGGCCAATATTGATAGGATAGCATCTTACAGTTGATGGAGATTTGTGGGATGCACATCCAGGGCATGAAGCTCCCGTTCCATCCCAAAGATGCTCTATTGGGTTGAGATCTGGTGACTGGGGGCCATTTTAGTACTGTAAACTCATTGTCATTTTCAAGTAACCAATTTGAAATGATTTGAGCTTTGTGACATGGTGCATTATCCTGCTGGAAGTAGCCATCAGAGGATGGGTACATGGTGGCCATAAAGTGACGGACATGGTTAGCAACAATGCTTAGGTAGGCCGTGGCATTTAAACGATGCCCAATTGGCACTAAGGGGCCTAAAGTGTGCCAAGAAAACATCCCCCACACTATTACACCACCACCACCCTGCACAGTGGGAACAAGGCATGATGGATCCATGTTCTCACTCTGTTTATGCCAAATTCTGACTCGACCATCTGAATGTCTCAACAGAAATCGAGACTTATCAGACCAGGCTACATTTTCCAGTCTTCAACTGTCTAATTTTGGTGAGCTCTTGCCAATTGTAGCCTCTTTTTCCTATTTGTAGTGGAGATGAGTGGTAGTCTGCTGGTGGGGTCTGACCCTGGTGGGGTCTTCTGCTGTTGTAGCCCATCCGCCTCAAGGTTGTGCGTGTTGTGGCTTTACAAATGCTTTGCTGCATACTTTGGTTGTAACGAGTGGTTATTTCAGTCAAAGTTGCTCTTCTATCAGCTTGAATCAGTCGGTCCATTCTCCTCTGACCTCTAGCATCAACAAGGCATTTTCGCCCACTGGACTGCCGCATACTGGATGTTTTTCCTTTTTCACACCATTCTTTGTAAACCCTAGAAATGGTTGTGGGTGAAAATCCCAGTAACTGAGCAGACTGTGAAATAATACTCAGACCGGCCCGTCTGGCACCAACAACCATGCCACACTCAAAATTGCTTAAATCCCCTTTCTTTCCCATTCTGAAATTCAGTTTGGAGTTCAGGAGATTGTGTTGACCAGGACCACACCCCTAAATACATTGAAGCAACTGCCATGTGATTGGTTGATTACATAATTGCACTGAGAAATTGTGCAATTCCTAATTATCCTTTAGGTGTTCCTAATAATCATTTAGGATGTGTAACAATATTATATAATATGGATGCTGTAATGTAGTATTTGTAATGCATTTTTATCTAAAACTAAACCATGACGCTGTGTGCCTGTCTGATTTCGAACATTCTCATTTATAGGGTCTGTTTGCCATCTGCGGCTTGCTGACAGGTTGCTATTTCTGCTGTTGTCTGTGCTGCTGTTTCAACTGCTGTTGTGGAAAGTGCAAACCACACACACCTGGAGAAGAGGACACTGAGTGCTATGTGTCTCCTGAAGACCTGGAGGAGCAGATCCGTACGGACAACGAGAGAGGTAAAAGGACATGCGCAAACACTTCAGATGTGTTCTTCAGGTGGTCACACTCCGTTTTGAAATGGTATTTGAGTACAGAGCATGCCTCAGTCACTCTACAGCCAGAAAAAAAGTTGATAAAAATTATTAAAAGGGACACATCCCAAAATTACAGCATCACTTTTAGTTCTCAATAACAGCATCTTCTTCATGTCTTAATTGTGAATGTACTGCTGGTAATCTTCTAAATAGATTATTCTATGGAAAGTGGAAAGACTTTATAAAGACTTAAATATGACATTATGCAACTAAACCGTTCTATAATAATAAAACAAAGCCTTATATGATAATTTACTAATTAAAAAACTTCATGAAATATTTAAACAGAAAAATAGGCTTTGATGTAGCAGATTATGGCTTATCAGACAGGGAAGAGCTTTTAACTTAATAAGTTACCCTGCTTACAAAAATAAATAGAATTGATACTTCTGAGCCAGATGTTTGGATAAAATATGCTGTTCTTCTGCCAGTGAGCTGTAGGAGTTTTTTGTGCTGTAGTCCCTCTCAAAAGTGATAATTGCAATCTGAGTCATTTCTCAAAGTGCGTTTGCATACTAGTTTTTTATAGCATTCTCACAATAAAAATAAACAATGTTTTCTTTCCTTGCATTTCAAAGGCGGTATGCAAGATGGTACTCACAAAAATGCCTTTCGACTTATTTAGACCCTAACTACATCTCCCATGTAAAAATACACTTTTGACTTGCTCTTCTGTTTAAGTTGACTTGCATTAAACAACCTGAGAACACAAAGGGCACAATATTCTGCTTTTTAATATTAATAAATTATAGTGTATGGAAACTTGTTTCCACCATGGATTAAAAAATAGAAAAGTTATAGCAACTTTTTATCTCACAGTTTTGACTTTATTTCATGCAATTCTGAGTTTAAATCTCTCAATTCTTTTTTATTATCATTATTATTATTATTATTATTTAATTCTGAGATATTTGGCCGGTTTCACAGATAGAGCTTAGATTAAACCAGCATTAAGCCTTAGTTAAATTAGGACTTTTATATTAGCTTTTATAAATGCGCATTCAAAAAAAAAACAACATTATTGGTATGAATCTTGAAACAAAACAATGGCACTGACTTATTTTAAGCTATATGATATAAAGTTGCTTTTAAGATGTATGATATAAAGTTGCTTTTAGATAAAACAACACAAACATGCATTTTAGTCCAAGGCTAGGCTTAATCCTTGTCTGTAAAACTGGGGATAATCTGACAAAAGTCAGAATTATTTATTTTTCAATCCATTGCGGAAACTCCATGATGATGTGGGTGCACCTGTTTTATAGCATTTATAGTAGTATAGTGCAAAAAGTCATGCCAAAATCATATCCTGCTCAAGTAGTCTCTAAAAATCCACCCATGTGGTCTTAGAATCTTATTTTTTCAGCATAAGGTATGTAAGTCAGTGGACAGTGGGCTGCCCTTCAAACCAGTGTTACAGAGCCAGCTCAATGAGGTCATAAAAGTGCAGCCAGCAGGGGCAGGCTAACGGCAGATTGCTGGGACGTCCTTGGAGTGTACAAAACACTTTTCATTTCAGCAGGAAGTTCAATTAGAAGTGTGAAATGGCATGACATTAGACAGAGTAACCTCTTGTTTATTCCATATTGATGATCATACGTGACCTCTTTTACCTGTGATTTTCTTTCTTTCTTTTTTCAGATGGTGACACTCCGATTGTGCTGCAGCCAACCAACGCTAGTGAGAAGACCCAGCTGATCGGGGATGGACACAGAACATACACCTAAATGCAAACGAGTTATTGATAGTTACTAATTTGAAAATTCTTTTTGAAAATATTGATGTATTTTACAATATACTGCTTATTTTAGGACAGAGAAAGTAAAAATACTCACCCTCTTAAGCTGTGTTTAGTCATGCTGTCTGTAAATAACAGATATTATATTATTCTTATGCTTAATGTGCAATTAAAACAGAAAATGTGATTAATTTTTTTTGAATTGTTCTCCTTTAAATTATAAATGTATGTCTTACAGGTTTTAAAATAAGAATTCAGATATTTCCGTATCTTGAATATAGATTGGGGTGTTTCTTGTTTCAAAAAATCTTCATGCAATATAATGTGCCTTTGGTCTGTCTTCGGAGCGAGGTGATGACGTCACTTTGCAGGACAACAATGATTTTAAGGATTACAATGATTCCTCTACAGTCCTCCGCTCTACCAACTGAGCTATCGAAGGAACCCGTTGAAAGGGATTTGAGCTATCTGTTTTGTGGGTAAAATTACAAAAATATTCTTTTTCTAAACTTGGGCTGCTATACTGCCACTCAATACGCTAACAGCCGCTAACTGTCTGACGGTTACGTTACCTATGGACGGTAGCAAGGTTGTGCTGTTGAGGCTCGCGTGGCGGCTTCTGAGGAGAAATGGAAAGAAAAAACGCGACTTACACAAAGAAACTCAGTGAACATACAGCGGTAAAAATGCATATGGAGTTTTTATAACGTTATTAGTAACATTAATCATGATATGATACAGTTAAGCAACATCAAAGGACCTAGAGTGTTGAATACCATCACGATTGAAAATGTGACACTGACTTCATATGGCAGTTAAAAGTAATTAATATTAAGTCACTTACATTTTAGACACAATATTGACTGTTTCAGCAGCGAAAATAGTTCCTAACAAAGATCACAGCAAACCCTAACGCACCTCACCGGAACCGTGTTTTCTTCATTGAATGATTCAGCGTTTAGAACGAACGTGTTTTCTTTATTGAATGATTCAGCGTTTTGAACGAATCGGTTGAGTCAAAGAATGACCAATACTCCCTCATTCCTGAACGATACAGCGGTTTGAGTGAATCCTTTGAATAAATGGCTCAATGACTCACTCATTAAGACGGTCACCTGCCGCCACCTACTGGTGGTTTAGTTTCGTGTTCAAAAGTATAATGTTTCATATTTATTCAAAAAATATTTTTAACTTTTTAAAACAATGATACATGGTATTTTAACCTTTGATTTTAACCTAAATGGCATTTTTCACTGATCGTTTTAAATATCTACTTTAAATTCTTAAATTTGATCAATAAATTAATTCAAATAAGACACTATGGCGGTTCAAATTAAATAATTTACACTGAACATTATAACCTGCATTAAATAATGTTATGAGATTGTAAATAAATAGTTTAAAATATTTTTTTTCTGATGCACAAATATGAAATAATATACTTTTGAACACGAAACTAAACCACCAGTAGGTGGCGGCAGGTGACCGTCTTAATGAGTGAGTCATAGATCAATTTATTCAAACGATTTGTTACGGCTGATTCGTTCAGGAATGTGGGAGTTTAACATATTTACTGAATTTTTTTATTGACTGTAACAAAAAAAAAAGGTCATTGAATCTTTGACTTTTTAGCGTTATAAAAACTTTTTTTTTACCGCTGTATGTTTACTGAGTTTGTGTGAGCCGCGCTCATTTCCATCACATAAGCCACCGCGCATAACATTAGCAGTTGAAATTTGTCAGATAATATTCTGTCATATTTGTCATAGATCATATTGAATTGGTTAATATTAGCCTACAAATACTTTCCCAAGAGTGCAAAATTGAGATACATTGAAACATGATGATGGTAAACTAATATTACAACAATTTCACATATAAAATAGAAGAAGTAATTGTCAAGTAAACTCATTCCAGTTATTTGCAGCAGTTTCGTCATTTTTTTTCAACCTAGCCGTTAGGCTATACCATGAGGGGAATTAGCTCAAATGGTAGAGCGCTCGCTTAGCATGCGAGAGGTAGCGGGATCGATGCCCGCATTCTCCACACCTTTTTCTAACAGCGTTGCCATTATTCTAGTGATGTATTCTCTTACCAGAATTATGTGAAAAATGAATATTTTTTTTACGTTTTCAACGTTTAAAAATGTTGCATGTTATTTTTTTTTTCTTGGCACTTGCATGGGCTACTAACGTTACTGAATGATGCTTTTAAACGCCTGTTTTCATTAAACGTCTTATCCTATAGAATTCCAGTACTAAAATTAAATTTATATTTATGTTGAATTATGTACTTTTTACGTATTAAATATGTTTAAATTCGATGTTTCTATGAGTTCCCTGTGTTTGTTACGTTTAATAAGCGATGCAACAGTATCATTTTCATATATGGGCAAGTAAACATGGCATCCTCTGACGTGCGGGTTTCTAAAAACAGCGCTAGCTGATAGTGGGCCCTGGCGTGGGGGAATGCCAACCCTCATTATATAGAAGGGACAGACAGGCGGTTGGGCAATGGCGAGGGCCTGAGTTCACCCCGTTCACAAGAATTGGGACAATTTAATTTCCTCGATCAACAACAGTCTCATTCTAAACGTCAGTGGAGCCTTTGCTCGTCAAATCAGGATGGACAGCTTGGAGAAGCAACTTATTTGTCCTATTTGTCTGGAAATGTTTACGAAACCGGTTGTGATTCTTCCTTGTCAACACAATCTCTGCCGGAAATGTGCTAATGACATTTTCCAGGTACAGTGTCAATATTTATTTATTTATTTTGTTTATCAACATCATTTAGACTTTCACACGCAAAAAAAAAAAAAAAAAAATGATATCCCATCTTTTTAAATAGTTATACATTTTTAACGGTGTGGATGTTTTCAGAAATGATTAAAAAAAGGAAAACATTAACTGTGATTTGTATTATTCATATCACAGTAGTTTTATCATTGGTTCTCTTGTTACTACAGCTCATTCACTTACTTTCAAGCAAATTGGCATTTTTGTTATGTACCTTACACATAAAGCTAAAATATATTAATATTTATTAATAAACAGTCGATCATTATTATTTATTTTTTTTGAATGTTTTATTAATTTGCTGTCCTATACACACTTCTCAAACAGTCCTCGAATCCATACCTTCCCACAAGAGGAGGCTCCGTAACATCCGGGGGCCGTTTCAGGTGTCCATCCTGCAGGCATGAAGTTGTGCTGGACCGCCATGGTGTCTACGGTCTGCAGAGAAACCTTTTGGTGGAAAACATCATTGACATGTACAAACAGGAGTACATCAGGTTAGATCTGGGAAACGGACACCTCAGGAAGCTCTAATAGGATGTCCATGTGGTTTAACAAGATCCCTTGTGTAATACAGAATGAAGTACGTTGGATCGTTACAGAGTGCACAACTGACTCTTGAACCACGAGTCATTTTCAGTTTGGTAAAGAAATCATTATGATGACATACACACTCGGTTTCACAGACAAGGTTTAAAAAGGTTCAAGGAAAGCAACTTGCACTGCCACATCTTAAAATATGCCAGTGACATTGTTTTGTCTTAAGATGCACATTAGTAATGTTTTTTTCTAAGACATGATTATAAAAGGTACTTGTTCTAATTGAACTAAGGCCTAATCCTGGCTTAATCTAAATCTGTCTGTGAAATCGAGCCAAAAAGTCATAAATATGAGCCAAAAAGTTGAAATTGACATAAAAAGTCATAATTATGAAATTAAAGTCATAATTAAAAGTCGAAATTAGACCATTAAGTATTTTCGTCAAATTTCAGAATTTTGACTTCTTATCTCATAATTCATTTAGACCTTTATTGTCATAATCATGAATTACTACAGAATGTTGTTTTTTTTTACTCTTATGTGGTGGAAGTGGCTTCCATAGCTACCTTTTTCGTTGAGGTATATTGAATCAACCGAAATATATTAATTTATACCCGCAAAAATTATTTTTGAGTTTAAAACAGCTTTTTAAAGTAACTATTGCAGGTTACAGAGTAATAATCCTTTATCCTTTTACTAAAGTGCATGAAATTAAGAAAACTAAAGAAACTCAAAATAAGAGCAGACATGCTTTTAAGAATGAAATTCCCCAGGGTCGAACTATTAAGTTCTCTGACACCCCTTCACTTTGCATAGCACTTAAGCGTTTCACTTTATGAATTCAAATATAGCTTGTTTTGAAAGAGAGGTCTGTCTTTTAAAGCTTTATAATTTAGTGTGCCGGTGTCCATGTGACTCCCTAGACCTGTGACTCAGACAGGTCAGAAGGCTAAAGATGACGGTCAGCTGGCAGGAAACTTATTTTTAGTTCCACCACTCAGTGTTTAGTCTCCTAAGCATACTGACACACATCACAGACCTTCAATACGGCCTTGTGAACCCTAGTTATTCCAGTAAGCGTTGTTTTGAACTGAAATCTGAGGCAAAGCCGAGAGGTTTCGAACCTTTGAAAAGTAAAAATCTGACTTATGTTTAACCTCAAATGTCAGATATTGATACTCATGGATCTGTAATCCTCCACAGCAGCAGACCGTCTCCTGAGAGGAAGGATGACCAGCCGATGTGTGAGATCCATGAGGACGAGAAAATCAACATATATTGTCTGACCTGCAGCGTCCCCACTTGTTCAATGTGTAAAGTGTTCGGCTCCCATAAGGACTGTGAAGTGGCCCCTCTTAACAGTATTTACCAGACACAAAAGGTAAAAGATCTAGCGCTTTCGGGGCATATTAATGTTTACGATCATCTGCATAAGTACACCAGAGTTTGCATCGGCGTGCATGCGTTTGTCTGCGCAGCATATATTTTTATAGTGTGTGTTAATATGCTTACCCACGTCCTCATCTCCAGACAGAGCTCACGGATGGAATATCAATGATGGTGGGCAATAATGACAGAATCCAAGGCATCATCAGTCAGTTGGAGGAGACCTGCAGAACCATAGAGGTTAGTCACCCTGTGTGGGGGCTTCTCCCTCCCCAAAGCCTGGCATAAGAACAGGATTATTGATGAGGAACGTAAGAACGCTTCCTCTGACAAAAGATACACGCGCTCTGGCATGGACGAGCAGGCAGGCAGGAAGCTGGATTCTCTCCAGACCTCACAGTTGCGTTCACAGAGGCTCCATGATTGACAAGCAAGCAGAAATGAGCCGTCTCTGTTGAGCATATGGCTCCTCTGACAGAAAGTCATTGTGAGCAAGGTTGAGGGTTAGATGCGGTCGAAGGATAGAAACAGGTAGTCAAACTATTGAT